AATAGAAAGATATTGTGTATGTATGATAAACATTATAAAATGTAATAAATTTTTTTGCAAACTTACCAATTTGTTCTAGATTATATATTATAGAGTCACCCAACTTCACATACGACATAGGTATGTAATCATCACTGTATACTATTGCATCTAACCCTCTGATAGTCAGATTGTAATTTCGTTCTAATTTCGCTATATCACAACATTTTCGTTTTGTTATAGACTTAATTAGGTGCATTATAATAAATAAATTGCCTGTAGACATTTGAATAGACGAAAGATTCTTCATAATTTCACTAAAATAGTTAAAAGCTGGCTTGCTAAAGTTATAAAATTTATGCAAAAATTATTGATAAGTTAACGAAAGGTATTATATACAAGCAAATATATACACATATATATATATATATATATATATATATATATATAATAATTATTATTATATAATAATTATTATTATCACAATATAAAATTGTTAATTATATTTTGTGTTTAATTTAATTAAATATGTAATTAATTACATAATTAATCATATGATTTAAAGTTTTTATATAAATTTGATGCTACAGTTTAAATTATAATTTAAAAGGAATAGCCAAACTTGATTACTTTTAAAAAATAAGTGTATATGTAAGTTGAAAATATATCTTGAATATTTAATGACATTGAAGGTAAAAAGAATTATAAATGGTAATAATAAAGATAATAAAGTATGAAAGAAATGATGTAAGTTTAAATAAAAATAAAATTAATTTAATTTAAATAAAAATAGTAATTATAGTAATATGGTGTATTATTTACTTGTCTTTCACATATATACGGATACTCTGCCAAAATATCTCTTTAGTAATCATTTCTTGTAATCTACGCAATAGACTGGATACTATAATTATATAATTTACATCAGAATATGAATAAGATAATAATTATAGTAAATAATAATTAATAATTATGGTAAAAGTATGATAAAACGTTATACATCACTGATTTTATCATCATTTGAATATGTTATAAAGGAAATTATCCTGAGTAATTCCGCGCATAAAAGTAAACGAGAGGCGACATTGGTTTAAAAGATATAAGTTAAAGTTAAAGTTGACAATTTTAATACTTTTCTTAAGCAAACTGATATTAAACACATTAATTTGCAAGTATTAAGATAAGGCAATCGAAAAATAAATATTTTATTAGATATTTTATAGTTTATGTAAAATTAAGATATAACTTGAAAAGTACTCAATGAAAAAATACTTTATTATAGCGTTTTGAAATGCTCTCGAAGTAATCTATAAGAATAAGTAATAAAAAAATAGAGATTTTCATGTAAAAAAGTATTAATGATCTTGACCTGACTTTAACAAGGTCAAGTCTATATTTTCATCATGTGTACCCCTTCAAGCTACGCAACTTTCGTGCGAAAAATTTTTCAGTACAATCATTGGTTCGCGAGATAATCGACTGTATCATTTAAAAAGAAACATCTTGTATACATAATATATTTTATATATAATTTTATATACTACAGCTTTATTATGTATGTATATAAGTGTGCATGTATATAATGCAGAGATTATACAGTTAGAAACATTTTTGCAGAAGTGTGAATGTAGATTGGCTCAAATTAAAAAGGAAGATATTATACTATTTTGCGATATTCGCAATAATTAACGAAAAATAAATTAAAGAAGATCGACCAATGCGCGTGACTAAAAGTGCTTGGCGGTGAAGGCGGTTTCACTGTAACATAATAGCGGTGCGCGGCGAAACAATGAATGGAGAGGGGAGTGCAGGCGCTCGGCGAAAGCTCTTCCCCCCCCCCATCACTGCTTTTTCTGACACCATGTATATAAAATTATAATTTTTATGAGTTATTCTACTTGTTTTATAAGCATTTATTTTCAAAAATTTACTCATAATCAATTTTTATTTATATTATCATACCTTTAATGTAACTGTAATGTTCAAAAGAAATGTTGAATGATGTATTATAAAGTGATGTATTATATTCAGTATCGAAATGAAGGGATTCTTGTTGAATTTGTACCACAAACAAGTCCATCATCCGGATACTTGGGAGAGTCTATAGAAAATAGTTTAAATGTATTTACTTAATTAATATTATATTTAACACACAAAGCAATATTCATTAGAGCTGTTATTTTCTACGTATATGTAAAAAAATCTCTTATACTTTTATACTCTTAAAATATAGAATAAATAATTTAAAAATATAATATATTAATAACAAAAATGATTACTCGATATATAATTTTAAAATTAATATTTTTAAAATTATTAAAATATATTATATAGCTAAATTATCTTATTACACAATTTCTATATGTATACATATATTATGTGGAATCTGAATGATAATTTTTCTTTGTTTATATATAATAATTTAAAGTCGGACAAATGTAATATAGTGACTTTGACACACACACAAAAAATAACAGAAACATAAAAATGTAAAAATATTTTAAATTGTATTATCTATGTTTGTAACATTTACTTGAAAATTAGCATTATTAAAAAATTCACTTTACTTTGTAAATATAAAATTTTCGCTTAATATTCTGATTTATAAAAAAAATTACACGCTATAATGGTAAATATTTATTTTTACACAGCCATCCCCATTACTCGACATATATTGTCACTGCACTGAGTAATATCCAAAAGATTTTAGGCGTTGCTCGTTGTTTATTAAAAAATTTTTTAATATGTTTATTTCTTTATAACTTTCAATATAAAAGGTCTATTATTGTACATAGTGTCCAAATTCGGTGAATCTTATAAAACTTCTTTTGTTTATAATTTTTTAATAAACAACGAGCGACGCCACAAATTTTTTGGATGTTATTCAGGGCAGTAATATATATATATATAGTAATATATATATATATATATATATATATATATATATATATGTTTAACGCAAACCTTGCTCACTTCCAAACAATATACAGGATGTCCTAGACCACCAGTACACCCTTTTCTCTCAAAAACTAAGCATTTTAGAGAAAAACGTTTTCGACAAAAATTGTATGGTTTTGAGAATAACATAAGATGGTGTCATTGGTTTGATCCTGGCATCGTTAAGATCAGGTCAAGGACACCTTAAATTTCTTAAATGGAACTATCTATTTTTTATTACATATTCTTATAGCTTATGTCGAGAGCTTTCCAAAACACTATAAAAAAGTATTTTTTCATCAAGTACTTTTCGAGTTATAAGGCTTGAAATTATTTCTTAATTTTACATAAAATATCTTGAAAAATATTCATGTTTCGATTATCTTACCTTAATACTTTTATGTACAAAATAATAAAAGGAATCAATTGGTGTAAAGAAAACATACAGTTGTTTTTAAGAAAAAATATGGAATTGTTAATTGCAAATTACATATTTTTTCTTAGAAATAACTATGTGTTTTCTTTATAACTCGAAAAGTACTTGAAAAAATACTTTATTATAGTGTTTTGAAAAGCTGTCAACATAAGCTATAAGAATATGCAATAAAAAATAGGTGGCTCCATTTAAGAAATTAAAGATGTTCTTGACCTGACCTTAACGATGCCATCCAAGGTCAAACCAATGACAACATCTTATATTGCCCTCAAAACCATACAATTTTTGACCAAAACGTTTTTCTCTAAAATGCTTAGTTTTTGAAGGAAAAGGAGTGTACGGGTGATCTAGGACACCTTGTGTATATATATACCTATATATATATATATATATATATATATATATATATATATATATACACACGTATGTACACACACACACACACACACACACACACACACACACACACACACACACACACACGCACGCACGCACGCACACGCACACGCACACGCACACGCACACGCACACGCACACGCACACGCACACGCACACGCACACGCACACGCACACGCACACGCACACGCACACGCACACGCACACGCACACACACACGCACACACACACACACACACACATTTGCTAGTGAGTAAAATTTGCGCTAAAGAATGCTTAAAATAACCTGATTGGTGACATATAATCCAAGAAATGAGACAATAGCCTCATTTAACAAAGAGGATAACGGCCAAAGTGGATTTTCATAATAAGAACATTCCTGTATTATTTTATGAGCCATAAAGCGGGCAATTTTGATTTTAGTCGCAACAGAATCTACATTGTCATTGTAGATAATATCTGCTTCTCTGAAAATTACAAAAATGTTTTATATAATGATTATTTCAGTTGTATAATACCACATAAAAAATATTGTATTTCCAAATTTATAATTAAATGATTCTATTAATTAACATATTAATTATATATTATTATTCATGTTTTATTTCTAAATGCTCATTACAAAGTAATGCAATATATTGGAAGCGAGTATCGCACTATATATATATATATATATAACTTTTTTAAATTTTGATCGATAAGAGTGAAAACCTTAATATAATATACCTATTTTTATACCTTAATATAATTATTTAAATGAATTGGTAAATTATTCGGCTCTATATATTTAAACAACATGATAATTTTAATAACGAGCAATAAGAGCCCACAACCGCGGATGGCAATGCGTGAATTATTTCGAACATTAATTGTTCACGAAAATTTTTAAGGCATATGCACATATGCCAAGTTATAGATTCTCTTGGTTTGAGACTTCTATAACACCCCCTTTTACCCCCCTGGAGAGATGTAGACAGGAAAAATATCGGGGCGAAGTCGCTGAATCGGGAATCGAACCCGAGTCTTTCGCTTGCCGGGCGACTGCTCTTACCACTGAGCTATTCAGCCCCACACCGACATTTCTCCTGTACGTTTTTATTAATCGGTGGAAATAATGAGAACACGATAATTAGCTCCACGTGTAGTTCTAAATGAATTGGTAAATTATTCGGCTCTATATATTTAAACAACATGATAATTTTAATACTCGCCCCGATAATTTTCCTGTCTACATCTCTCCAGGGGGGTAAAAGGGGGTGTTATAGAAGTCTCAAACCAAGAGAATCTATAACTTGGCATATGTGCATATGCCTTAAAAATTTTCGTGAACAATTAATGTTCGAAATAATTCACGCATTGCCATCCGCGGTTGTGGGCTCTTATTGCTCGTTATTAAAATTATCATGTTGTTTAAATATATAGAGCCGAATAATTTACCAATTCATTTAGAACTACACGTGGAGCTAATTATCGTGTTCTCATTATTTCCACCGATTAATAAAAACGTACAGGAGAAATGTCGGTGTGGGGCTGAATAGCTCAGTGGTAAGAGCAGTCGCCCGGCAAGCGAAAGACTCGGGTTCGATTCCCGATTCAGCGACTTCGCCCCGATATTTTTCCTGTCTACATCTCTCCAGGGGGGTAAAAGGGGGTGTTATAGAAGTCTCAAACCAAGAGAATCTATAACTTGGCATATGTGCATATGCCTTAAAAATTTTCGTGAACAATTAATGTTCGAAATAATTCACGCATTGCCATCCGCGGTTGTGGGCTCTTATTGCTCGTTATTAAAATTATCATGTTGTTATAATTATTTAATTTACAACTTTATATTTTAATTTGTAATTTTCAATTTTAAGATTATAAAATATGAATATTTTAATGTTATTCTTCATATAAGTTGATTTACAGTTTGAAGATATAGGTTGTCCAGAAAGTTATTGTGGTTTGTAAACTTCAAATTCAAATACGCATATTTTAGCAAGTGAACTTTATCGAATCAAACGAGGACCATTGAAGTTTAAATATTTTTGCCAACGAAAAACAATATTTATTTATTCCTGTAGCATAAAATTTAGATTTCTAGAAGCGATAAACTCTTCGAAGGCGTTTCTGACAGTAGCTTTATTGTTAAAGATTTTCCCCTGCAAGAAATTGTCGAAATGTTTAAAGAAGTGATCAGTCAGTTGGTGAGAATATGATGGGTGAGACAGAGTTTCATGGAGCTTCATAGCTCAATTGATTAATGCAGCGTCGGTTGTGCGGCGTAGTCGAGCATTGTCATGTAGAACAATTGGAACTTTTCTGTTGACCAACACCGAACGCAAACTTGTTAATTCCTGATGCATTTTGTCAATTTCTTGACAGTATCTCTCTCCCGTAATAATTCCGCCCGAATTTAAAAAGCTGTAGTAAATTATCTCGGCTGACGACTACCAAATAATCACCATAATCTTCTTTTAATACAATTTTAGTTTCGGAAAGCGTTTTGGCGCACCATCATGGTCTAACCATTGTGCAAAACGTCGACGATTATCATACAAGAACCATTTTTCATCGCACGTTACAATGCGATCAAGAGACGGATTATTCTGTTTGCGCAAAATCAGTGCAGAACTACTTTAAAGTGACGATTCTTTTGATTTTCGCTCAATTGATGCGGCATTCATTTGTCGAGCTTTTTTGTTTTTCCAATTTGTTCCAGGTAATCAGAAACAGATGACTTGCTTACTCCAAGTTTTTCCGCTAGTTCTTGAATCGATGTGCGTGACTCTATTTCAACTAACACTTTCAAGTGGTCGTCGTCAATAATCGCAGTCGTCCAGAATTTTTCAACTTCAAGGCTCTGCACTGAAATTTACGTAAATCATCATTGCATTATACGTTCATTAGGGGTTCCTGGACCAAATGCATCGTTAATATTGAAAGCCTTCAGTTGCTTTACTTACGCCTCATTTTGAATTCATATAAAAAAATCGCTGGAATTTGCTATTTTATCAGTCTTAATTTCATAGTTTAAATAAAAGGGAAACCAATATCAAAACACAGTTATTTTCATTAAAATGTAGAGCGAAGTTTGGGTTTTTACATTGATATAATATAAATACAAAAGAAAGACAACGTGAAATAGCGCCAAATCTTAAACAACAAAAATCGCAATAACTTTCTGGGCAATAATAAACTGGACTAATAATAAACGATTAGATATGTTTCTCCTCTCATTGTGCTTCATACAATATAACTTATTTTTTAAAATATATTCAAATAATATTTTTAAAATAGAGAAAAGATATGTAAATAATTTTAGTTATCAAGAATTTGTGTTGTTCTCTTTTTCATTATTAAAATATATTAATTTTTTCTAATTATATAGTTACCTGTAAAGAATAAGTCCCAAATTTATAATGCTTTCGTTTTGAAAATCCGGAAGTGCAATATGATTTATTTCCAAAGTTTTATTCAAACGTTTCCATTTATCGAATAAGTACGTTGTTATATTTTCAGCAAATTGGTGTGCAAATTCGCAGTGCATTCTACACCACATATTAACTCTGACACTTTTATTTGTACCATGCATAAAAGATAAATTAATTCGGTTGAGAAATAGTAAATAAATAGGCTTTACAAACGTATGAAAATATGTCTTCGTCATGTTTTTATCATTCCTTTCCTTTGTTTGTATCAGTGGATTTAATAAAACTGTATTGTTTTGATGTTCGATAATAATATTGTAGATGGGCTTATAATAGGGCATTCTGCTTAAAGATTCGGGCAAAGACGGAATCATGTGTTGGATCCCAATACGATCAACATACGTTGCAAACCTATCACATTCAGAAATATGAATTAACAATAATAAAAGACATCGCAAAACCTGATGCAAAAGTGGTTTCAATGAAATTGTATAAAAGTTGCATATATTTTAGTCGTGCGGATTCGTTAAATGTCTATTTTAGAATATACAGATACAAAATAAATATTTAATAATTAATATTTTAGTATCAAAATTTTAATGCGTTTAATAAAATTAAAATAAATTTCAATATAAAATAGTATTGGAATAATAACTTTATTAAATTGATTTTAATTGATATGTTATCAATGATTTTGTACATAATTTTATACAAGTGAAAGGAACTGCTTATTTTAGTGTTAGTTTATTAAATAAAACACATATGCATATATGTCTTAGTTATTATTAAAAATAGTATTATTTTTAAATAATATGGGTGTGTATAAATACACGTTTAAATACACGAAACAGCATAAGTGTAGTTTATATATATAATTGTATGTATTATATGCAGAGTGTTTATAAAAGTTGTATTATATGTAAGTGTTTATGATCTAATCAAATTTTGATGACTTTTATGAACTATAAGGATAAAAAATTTATATAAACATGTGTTTTGAAATGTTTTCCTTCTAAATTGTAGACTTTTTTAAATATTAGAAATGAATTTCCTAAAATTGATATTGTCAAAATAAACAGTGTAAAACTTAAGTGTTTGTTCAAAATCTCAAATTTCATATAAGCAAGTTTTATAAAAATATAAATCCTTCAAAATCTACTTATATTTTGAAAACAATTCAAATCTCTACCGGAATATTTGATTTCGTTCGAGTGTTGACAATAAAATGCTGTATAAGACGTGTATTATTGCTGCCTACATTAAATAAATTAATTTTTATTTGCAGCTTACATTTATTTTAATAATAATGATCATATTAAATTGCAAAATTTTTTACCAAAAGATGATTTGAGAAACATATAATTAAGAATGGAAACATTTCAAATACGTACATGTCTATATATAAATGTGTTTTTCTTAGAAAATACTTTTTAAATAGAAATAAAGTGATTTACCAGGACTTGATCATAAACATCGTGAAATTACTATATATTTAACATTTTAACAGTTACTTACCATTGTCGCTCATCTCTTTTATAAAAGGTTTTTAGGCCTGTATCTTCAGTTATATTATAAACTAATTTTATGTTGTAATACCCTGGCAATAGATCATTAGGGAATATATATTTGACAATGTTTTTCTCAACATCATACATAGATTTTACTGCATAAATGATCTCTTCTTGAGTATTATTCATAAAATATGAAGAATAAAACATAGTTAGATTAATATTTTTTACATGTAAACAATAATACAATAATATGCTTGATGTTGGATGTTTAATCTCTGTACGTATAATGCAGTTGCAGACAAGAATATTTTCTTCGATATGTGTAACGATGATATCATAATGTTGCGGAAATATATAATAAGAGTGCCTGTTTAGCTCTTCTTGAGATATTTTAATTATCTGATCGTCGGTAAAAAATGGCGCCGCGACGATGATAGTTAAACTGCTGCTTAACAATAGTTTAAGAAACATGATACTACTTTTATCTTATTGTTAGATATCTGTAAAAATATATTTTTGTTAGAAAGTACAATCGGACAAATAAACACAGCACTGTCTCTACCATGATTTAATAGAAAAGATGGAATTAAGACAAATATAAAAATATAAAAATAAAAATAAACTTAATTTTGAATAACTTACTCTGTATAATGAGATATACTACAAATTCTAAGCAACTGTATGTTTCGTTACAATAATTAGCTGCAATAAATTAATGTTTTATCCACTATCATTGAAACATGAAAAATATATATGCGCATTTGTGATTTCTTTTTATTTCGAGAAACTTCCAAAGACTAATAACACTTGGCGATATTACAATAAATGTATATGCCATATGTAAACACACAACTTCTGAGGTCGTTAACAGACGTTTCGATCGAGAAATGGTATGTAATAGCAAAGCACGGTGCCGTTCTTCCCACTCCAAATTCGTGCTAGCGATCGAGCGCTGTAAGATGGCAGAACAGTTTATTTCGCGTAGGTCTAAAGCAAAAGAGGTCGTTATGTAGAATGCAAAAATATCTGTAAATATATATATTTGAATTCTTTTATACTGTTTAAAAGTAGTATATTCCTACCAAAAATTTGATAATTTTTATAATTAGTAATATACATTCAAATAAAATTTTATTAACTATATTATTACAAGTTTGTATCTGGTAATTATCTTTATCTAGGTAAATTATCTTTAAGCAAATTAATAAAAAAACGTAACTTATTAACACTAGAATATAATATTACAGTATTGTATATAAGAGAATATAATAAATTTTTTATGTTTTTGTTCACTCTTTCAAATTTATATGGTGGATATATGACTAAAACGACGGAAAATTTTTAATCGATAATCAAATCAATAATCGTGTTTTTCTCATGAAGTAGATTTTTAAATTAAAATTAAGAAAGGTTTTTTATAATGTGGAATAAAAATATTATAGAGATAGCGTGCTTCAAGAATTATGCCATATCATTTATTATTAAATTAAAAATATTATTAGTATATTAATAAAACACATTCGTAAAAAATACTTTTGATAGGATTTAAAATATGAATAACATATGTTAATATAACTATTTATTAATTTGTTAATATTTATATACAAATAAATTTAAATTATAATTATATATACAGTATTTTATTAATTAAACATATAATTGAAATAAAATATAATAATAGGCCATAAAAAGCCAACGCAGTTGTAAGGCGTGTTTTTGAAGAAAAAAATAATCCATGAAAACGATCACATTAAACGATCTTTCTTCTTTATTGACATCAAACGTTTCGGACTCAGTTCGAGCCTTCTTCAGTGATTCTGACAAGACAAAAAAGAACCAAATAAGATAACATTAAAAACGCAGTCATTATTAGATAAGAGAGAAAAAATGTAGTTATCATACGTGCATAGTCTTAAAGAGCGAACGTGAACTCATCAAGGCAAGTCGACCCGAAGGAAACCAAATGCAAGTAGCCCTTTAAGCGGTGCAAGGCGCAAAGAGTGATGCACTAACAAAATAAATGTATACAATCTAGAAACAAAGCCTTGCAATAAAAAATTAAAATTAGACAAAGGCAACTCACTCGGACTCGAGAAGACGAAACAGAAACGGACACGAATACTCAGCACGCACATAGCCGACTAAGCAAAAAGATTCGAATGCTAACGATAAAATGACGTCATAGTGTCGACAAAAACAATCCGTATACACTGAGGACAAGAACAGTCCTAACAAACAACAAACTATTACATTTTAGACATGTTTTCAATAATCGATAAACACGAAGTATTCAATTTTAACGTGTCACTATGGAGATTCAACGCATTTCTTTGACGCTTAATATAGATTATCTCCGATATTAGTCTCTTTCCTTTTTTGTCTTGTCAGAAACTCATCACTGAAGAAGGCTCGAACTGAGTCCGAAATATTTGATGTCAATAAAGAAGAAAGATCGTTTAATGTGATCATTTTCATGGATTATTTTTTTCTTCAAAAACACGCCTTACAACTGCGTTGGCTTTTTATGGTCTATTATTATATTTTATTTTAATTTGTTAATTTCAAGAGCCTTTAATTTTGTTTATCTTTTATTTTAAACATATAATATTTTATTATGTACAACATTCGTAATTATTTTACATTATATTAAAATTATAATCTATATCTGTAATATCCTTTATTAAATCATATATATATATATATATGTATATATATATATATATATATATATATATATTACACATTAATATACATATATTAATTTATGTGTATTAGCAAGTAATAAGTAATGCAGTACTAATATATCTATGTTGATATACATTATTAACATAATAAAAAACTTAAGAGATGTTAAAATAAATAAATATTAAGATGTAACTTTATAGTTATTGTGTTACTATATTAATAATTCAGAATTCAGCTTATTTTTGTAATATTAACAAAATATATTAATCTACGTATTAAAAAATAACTTTCTCTCATTTTTATAATTAATAATACAATTTAAATATCTCAGATTTGCAGAACGATAAGAAAATCTGTAATTATGCTTGTATTATAAAGTATTCTTATAATACAAACGCATCGGGTATCGTTGCAGGATAATTTAAGTCCTACCCAGTATAATTAAAATCCTAAGACGTTAAAACGCATTTTATTTTGCATATTACTTAGGGACATGATGTTGACAACACATATCAAGATCAAAATCAGTAGTGGGGAAGTAAATATGAATATTTATCACAATTATTAATAAAATTATACCAGCAAAAAATTCTAATTAGAAGCAGTAAATATCATTAACTCCAAGTAAATTTAAATGTTAAATGGAAACGTTACATTTTTAGCACGATTGTGACCGTAATGAAATAAGATTTCCGTCTATTATATTATCTCCGGAACGAACTTGACTTAGTTAAGAAATATATGACGTTATTTGTGTTGATTGCAGGTAACTCTTATGACAGCTTATGTCCGCTGCGTAAGTGTACTTCGATAAAGGAGGAGGTGAAATGATGCAAATGCGTATGTGAAGTTATAAGTGTCAAATCATGGGCCAAAGATGGCCTGATGACTGGATCAAGTTTAGTGAAACATGAATAGAGTAATACTGGATTCTTACTTTCATGTCTTCGCAGCTTATAAATCGCACATACATTTGCGCGAGCAAACATGCGACGCGTTTACGCTTACAGGGTACAGTTCTTTATAGTAGGCGAAGAAACGCTTTTTAGCTGATTTATAAAATATCAAATATCAAAAATAAAATATCAAATATAAAATATCAAATAAATAAAATATCAAAAATAAAATATCAAAAATTTTAAGCACAATTGCTCCTGCTTAAATAATGACACTTATTATATCTAATTACACTTCTAATATGCTCCACATTTGTGCTCTTGACTCCAATATTCGAACAGAGATAATTCGAAAACAGGAAGAAATTACTGTAATATTTAATTTTGCTTAGAAAATATCTTTTATTCATCAATATAAGATCTCTTGGAAGGAATTAAATGTGTTTTATATAAGATCATCAAATTCTTCAGAGCTTATTTCTCGAATTTAATAATATGGAGAGTGTTCTTATAGAAAAATGCTTTCCTCCGTTCTCTATTTTTACATTTTTTACTCGCGTTTGGAGCATCTTTATTTCATCGTTATCTTTAGCGGACGGATAAATTATTTTTCCTTTCGCTGCGAAAGGAGAAAGTTGAGGTTTACAAATACCATAACAAAGAAAAAAAAATATGTATTAATTGTGCCATTAATTATTCAAGTACGTAACATTCTATATTCTCCTAATTGATTTCTGCCGTATGGACAATCTTTTTTTTCATTGACATTCATTAGGTGTCGCCGATATCGCGGAAGATAAGGATCGGAAATAATTTCTCTTAGAGCCGAAGGTTTCTGCTAGCGCGGAGATAGGCACGAGATAAATTTTAACATATCGATGAGTTTTGTTTCCTTTGCATATGTATCAATTATGCCTGATTCCATCGGATACACTATTCTATTATATTTGCGTTTCTTGGATTTCTAAATAATATAATTCAAAATTTAATACAAAATAACTTATTACATGGAATAATTTATCACACGAAATTGTCTAAAATATATGTATAAAATAAAATTTACTAAAAATTTTTACATAGAATAGAATTTAATAAGTTTAATAAGTTTTATATAACGTAAATAATCGTGATCAAAAGAGTCATGATTAAAATTATTGATCGTTTCTTCGATTGTAAAAGAAAGTATTTGCATTACTGGCGCATTTTGTATAGATTATCAAAGGAAATATTCAAAATGAATAAATAGAATAAACTTAGAAATCAACAATTAAATTACTAAGTAAATCGCGATTTAAAATTTGCGAGAACACGCGACGAATAAATAAATCTACAATAATCGATTGCGAGATAAGCATAATTTTTATAATATAATAATCGAAATCATCAATAGACACGCGTGCGATATAATTATTACACAAATGATGACAAACGAAGATATTTTGGCAAATATTTGTGGTCCGTATTGTTTATGAACATAAATTTCACTGTCCGATTTATTTGCGATTAATATACGCGACTTTATACGAATTTCACGATTGAAAATAAAACACATTTCCTAATTCGCGCATGATTAGCTGAATAAGATGAAATGAGCTCTATAAGCTTTAAAATATTATAATTAAAAATCACGTTGTGGCTACGTTTAATAGAAGGTAACGGGACGAATGATTTTCAAAGTCCCTCTAATAATGGATGTAATTGTAGAGTTTAATAAGTTTAATTTAAATAAAGAAGAAGTAAAGAATTACGTTTAAAACAGTCATTAATAAAGTTATCGATCGTCTGTCATATTATAGAAGAAAATATTTGCACTACCAGCATTTTATAGTTTTGCACGAACTATAAAAAAACAATATTCAAAGATGTGGAAAGATAAACAAAGCTTTCATGTATAAGTCAACAATTAAATTATAAGATAAATCGCGATTTAAAATTCGGGATAAAACGCAATGAATAAATAAATCGATAATATTCAAAATATTCAATTGCAAATTCGCAAGTGATATACCGGTAATCCGATAAAAACAGGAGCGATCTTAAAAATGGAGAACGATTAACATCTTGATTTTACATTAGATTTCGTAAGATCAATCTGCGAAGAAAAGTTAAGTGATCGATTGAACGTCGGGAACTTCACTGTAGGAGCGAACGAATCCTGGATCTTCCGGACTATTCTCGATAGCAATTATTTCAGTAATAATTTAACGACAATTATTTCTCGTCATTATTTCTCGTCATCTTCAATACACGAAATTGATATGCACATCAAAAAACATGTTCTTCCATTATTAAGAAATATATTTCTTTATTGAAAATTAAATGAATATAACGATCTTTTTTATTGAAATATGATTACGAAGGATTATAAATTATAAAATTTTATAAATAATATTTATAAATAATAAAATACATGCATTGGAGTTTGTATAAAATTTTATAAATAATATTTATAAATAATAAAATACATTGGAGTTTGTGTTAAATGTGCGAACACATATAATTTGGGGTACTGTTCGTCCGCGCGAGACAAATCGAATCCGATATCAGCAAGATTTTAAAAAATTTCAATTCGGACAGTGTGCAAAATAAAATAAATCAAATAATTTTAATCAATTAATTCTGAATTAATTCTCTAGATTCTTATTCTTATTACGTTTAAATTAATAATTTCTTTTCTTTTAATATCCTCCAATATCTTACTGATATAGGGGTACCCATTCGATTTGTCTCGAAATTTTTAAGTATAA